GAAAAAAAAAAAAAGAGGTTAGAGTGGGAGAGAGCCAAAGCATAAGAGACTGTTAAAAACTGAGAACAAACTGAGGGTTGATGGGGGTGGGGGGGAGGAGAGGGCGGGTGATGGGTATTGAGGAGGGCACCTTTTGGGATGAGCACTGGGTGTTGTATGGAAACCAATTTGACAATAAATATCATATATTGAAAAAAACAAAAAATATATATTTTTTTATCAAAATAGTTTCATAGTTCATTGGAATATAGCAAGAATTGTTATTTTTCTACTTCGCTCAATATTTTTAAATCACCATTTGAAACGAACAGAAATCATTATAAAATTGACAAACTTCATTACCAAATCCTCGGCATTTTGCTCATCATTTTCCGAAGTGTTAGAAAGTTCTGAGATATGTGTACAGTCTTGATTCCTAAAAAGCAATTTTTCACATGTTTAAGAGTATGCAGTTGTCGTGTCTGATGTCAAAGATTCAAACTACAGGTTAAGATATAAACAGTTCCCCAAGTATGCATACCTAATTTCAAGCAAAGGAATATCCAGTTTTTGAATCTACCCTCTGCGGAAACAACTGACCATCTTAGAATATGGAAAGTAAGTTTTTGTTTCCCCAGCTAAGTATGTATAAAAATTAAGCTGGCAATCCAGAAATAATCCAATTATGGCCTCAACTGGATGAATGTGAAGATGAGTGTTCCTACACATCACTAGGCATATTCGTACAGTAAGTACCAGGAACATGGATTGACTTGAGACAAAATAGAGGGGAGAAGCAGAAATTAAAGCAAATTAGATCTTAACTTCCCTGTACACACAGAAGAAAGAATGCTGAAGTAGGACTATCTAGGCATGAAGAAGATGAAAATGGGTATGTGATTTTCCTGAAGTAGAAAAAAATGAAAGTCCTGGGGAAGAGGAAACAAGTCCAGGTCATCCAGGCAAGAAGTGGATTCAACCCAGCAAAGCAAGATAGGCCAGAACCAGTTACTTCCCAGTTTGTAGCCACATAGTAAAAATGATGGCACAGTTTATAAATTATCTTCTCTACTACGTAATTCTTTCAAACAATTTTTATGGCTATGGTAAAAAGGCATTAAGATCACACAGCACAATTCATTAATTTCAAAGGAAACAGGCTGAGCAATTTGTCCAAAGTGACAGACAACGTTCATCAGAACAGATGATGTTAAAACTCAGATCCCACTTTCCGTCCTCCTCCTAAATGATCTCCCAATGCAAGCAAGAGTGTGCAGCCATTAGTGTTATACCAAGGGTAATTTCTTCATGTTTCATGAGGACACCACAGTCATGAAAAATGACTAAGGGAAACCCGGTGAGGGGTATATATAGGGCAACTTCTGTAGTATAAAATTATTTCAATTTTAAAAAGCAGAAAACATTGGATTGTTCTATTTTTCATGCCTTTACTAAAAGTAATAATCACAATAAATATGTACAGAAATGTTATGTAACATAGCATATTAATAAAAGGGTGTAATTCAGAGAGCAAAAATTAAGAACTAGATGGCTGCAAGAGGTACAGATATGCAAAGCCACTTTCCACATCTATAATAGGAGGTAACTTACTTGATAAATTTTAAAAGTTGGTCAGTTATCTTCTTAGCTGATCTTGCAATTACACTTTCAGGCTCATTAAATGTCCTGGCATTATGTTCTATGTATCTGACTTCCCAAACTAATGCAGATAGCCTCCTTCAAAACAAAAAAGTAGGCAATTTAGAGCTCAGAAAACAAAAACACAGAAACCAGGTTGTTAAAAAAAAAAAAAAAAAAAAAA